CCCCCCCCCCCCCCCCGGGAGAAAACCCCTGAATTCAGGAATACAAAAACTGAAATCTTGGATGTGAGAGAATGGAGTGCACTCACCCACTTTCAGTGCTATGCCGCACTTGATTACATTCAATTAAAGTTGATTATGATTAGTGTTTTCTTCATTCTTACATAACAGCAAGTCTTTGATCCTGGGTTCAGTGGTATCAATTAATGAAGTACAGAAGAAGACCAGTCTGATTTTCTGTTGGCTATACCCAAAGATTATTTATTTTACGTACTGGTCCTTAGGGGTTAGAGTAAAGCACACAAGGTAAAATATTATTGAATCCTGATAGAGATTTTTACCTTCACTGATTTCTTTTTATTTATTTAAACATATTTAATCACATATTAACCCCAAGATAAAAAAACTCATTGAAGGGGTCTAAATATCTATTTACACATGAAACTAAATTACATGGCGTACATAGGTCAATGAACACAGAATAGTAATAATAACAAATACATTAGCAAATTAAAAGAGGATAAAGTGAAATTAAATTAGGACAAAGAACACGTTTAGAGTCTACAGTAGTATACATTGTTACACGGCAAAAAAATAGACTTTGGTTTTCAGGTGCAGATAGCTCTTCGGACTTGTGCTATTTAAAGGAAAAAGTTTTTTCTTGAAAGATAATTTAGACTAATTATTGATAAGTTGTGCAGCAGAGGTAATTAGTGTATCACTCTGAGCAGAGTACAGGGGGCAAAACATTAAACATTGAACTGACTCTTTAAACCCTGTTGACATACACAATCCTGGCTTATGCTACGATTAATTTTGAACAGATACAAATTCAACGCACAACCTAAGATCAAGGCGTAACGAGTAAGAGATATACTATGACTCTTCTGGTTGTTAAATGTTCCCAGCTTACTTAACAACCATTGCTTGCTAATTTCTTTTGAGGCGTCTGTTGCGATAATAGCTGAGTTCCTAATGATAAGTTTAAAAATGTGCTGCATCCATTATAAATCATCCAATAAGCATATTCCATGATGGATTTTATCTTAGTTTTATAAAGGTTAATCAATGTTTCTCTGTTTGATAATTTATATTGGAGCCCTTTTAGTTTTATAAAGGTTAATCAATGTTTCTCTGTTTGATAATTTATATTGGAGCCCTTTTAG